ACACACCTCAACAAACAAAAAGCAAATAATCCAATCAAAAAATGGTCAGAGGAGCTGAACAGACAGTTCTCCAAAGAAGAAATTCAGATGGCCAAGAGGCACATGAAAAGATGCTACACATCGCTAGTCATCAGAGAAATGCAAATTAAAACCACAGTGAGGTATCACCTCACACCAGTAAGGATCGCCACCATCCAAAAGACAACAAATGTTGGCGAGGTTGTGGAGAAAGGGGAACCCTCCTACACTGCTGGTGGGAATGTAAATTAGTTCAACCATTGTGGAAAGCAGTATGGAGGTTCTTCAAAAAGCTCAAAATAGAAACACCATTTGACCCATTAATTCCACTCCTAGGAATTTACCCTAAGAATGCAGCAGCACAGTTTCAAAAAGACATATGCACCCCTATGTTTATTGCAGCACTATTTACAATAGCCAAGAATTAGGAGCAACCTAAGTGTCCATCAGTAGATGAATAGATAAAGATGTGGTACATATACACAATGGAATATTATTCAGCCATAAGAAGAAAACAAATCCTACCATTTGCAACAACATGGACGGAGCTAGAGGGTATTATGCTCAGTGAAATAAGCCAGGTGGAGTAAGACAAGTATTAAATGATTTCACTCATTTGTGGAGTAAAAGAACAAAGAAAAAAACTGAAGTAACAAAACAGCAGCAGAATCACAGAACCCAAGAATGGACTAACAATTACCAAAGAGAAAGGGACTGGGGAGGATGGGTGGGAAGGGAGGGATAAGGGTGGAAAAAAGAAAGGGGGCATTATGATTAGCATGTATAATGAGGGGGGGTCATGGGGAGGGCTGTGCAACACAGAGAAGACAAGTAGTGACTTACTATAGCATCTTACTACACTGATGGACAAAGACTGTAATGGGGTATGTGGGGGGGACTTGGTGATGGGGGGAGTCTAGTAAACATAACGACCCTCATGTAATTGTAGATTAATGATATCAATATAAAATTAAAAACAAAACTTAGAAAGAAAAGAAAAGAAAAAAAATTGGTGTCTCTTGAATGCGATTTTAAAATTTATAAAATTACATGTAAGATGTTAGTGGCTTTCCAACATATTTTTGTATGTTCCTTTGTCTGGTCTTCAAACAATTTTGTTAATGATAATTTGAAAAAATGTTCCTATAATAATTAGCACTTTATAAAATTATGTATGCAAAATAAAACTGACTCCCAAATAGCTGCTATTCTAGTTGCATAAATTCTTATTCAGACTCAAATATTTCTCAAAAGAATCACATTTTTAAATGGTTCTACTCTTTTCAGTTCTCTAGAATGCCTCCAGGTGGCATTAAAACCCTTTCCCATTATATTTTGCAGCACAAAAATTTAAAAATTAGTAAGAGTCTAATCATTTAAGAAAAGTCACATTCATTATGTGATCAGAAATCATGACAGTTGAACTACTTATCTTTTAGGGCAATACCTTAAGAAAGACACAAATATAATCATGTCCTTAATGAAATATATAGCCATTCTATGCAAACCAAAGGATCTTTCTAGACTGAGAAACAACTCTTGGACAAAATAAGATACTCAATAATATTATATCACACACTGATTTCTAATGAATAATATTTTAAATTCTTAGTAATAAGAGCACTGGTCTACCTACAGGTAAACTACGTTGTCTTATTAAGAAAACATATTTCACTTCTCAGAGTGATCAAAATAAAGATTTTAAGGGCAAACTTGTTAATGATTCCTGCAGAGCTAAAATAATTTGTTAGCTTATGAATTGATTTTATGTAAACTTTGGTGTATAAATTTGGTGTCAAATTGAACTTGAAAAACGAGTACTGAGAGGAAAAAGACAAAAGAGTGAGGAACACGTGCTTCGTAAGTGCTTTTTCCTATCTTTTTAAGACTACATTTGTTAATTCAAAGCATAAACTCTTGAGAGTCCAGAGATACCTATAATTGCATTTTTCACATTATTCAGAGGTAAGGTTGCAGATGGCAGGCTTTTTTTTTTTTTTTTGAGAGGGCATCTCTCATATTTATTGATCAAATGGTTGTTAACAACAATAAAATTCAGTATAGGGGAGTCAATGCTCAATGTACAATCATTAATCCATCTCAAGCCTAATTCTCGTCAGTCTCCAATCTTCTGAAGCATAACGAACAAGTTCTTACATGGTGAACGAATTCTTACAGAGTGAATAAATTCTTACATGGTGAACAGTACAAGGGCATTCATCACAGAAACTTTCGGTTTTGATCATGCAATATGACCTATAAACCATCAGGTCAAATATGAATATTCATTTGATTTTTGTACTTGATTTATATGTTGATCCCACATTTCTCCTATTATTATTATTATTTTTATTTTTAATAAAATGCTGAAGTGGTAGGTAGATGCAAGATAAAGGTAGAAAACATAGTTTAGTGCTGTAAGAAGGCAAATGTAGATGATCAGATGATCAGGTGTGTGCCTATGGACTAAGTATTAATCCAGGCTAGACAAGGGCAGCAAGACATCCACGGATGCAGAAGATTTCTCTCAAAGCAGGGGGGGTGAGGTTCTGAGCCTCACCTCTGTTGATCCCCAAATTCTCACCTGATGGCCCCCCTGCGACTGTGCCTGTCTTAGGTTGTTCCTCCCTTGAGGAATCTTACCCGTCTCTGGCTAACCAGTCATCTTCCGGGGCCATACAGGGAAATGTAAAGTTGGTAAGTGAGAGAGAAGCCATATTGTTTGCAAAGGTTAGCTTTTTACTTCTTTGCAGATTTATGCCCTGTGGCTTCTATGCCCAGCACTTGTCTCGAGGTATCTTTACCACCTGGAGGAATTATGATACTCGGTAAATTCGATATGAGGCACGAATTCTATTTAAGGTTTGTAATTAGGAAGGAAGAAGAAAAGCTATAGATGTAGCATATGAAGGAAACTTGGGAGGATTGATTATTTCTTTGACATATCTTCTTGTATAGTACCTTAAGTATGTATAGGTTTTAAACTACTAACTAATTTGCACACACATATTAACATAATAGGAATACGGTGACATAAACAAAGCAAATCTATAATTACCATCCATCTCCAGTGAAGCCAAGAAAACCATTTAGGCACCCTAGGCATTTGTGAAAATTTATCTATGATATGATGGATATTGTCCAACTGTACTTGAACAATCAGACAAATTAAAGCAGCCCATTTCTGGGATCTGTTCACATCCCATATGTTCTTTTAACCGTAGATAGTCTATAGTCATGAGATTTTGGAGTGCTACAACTTGCACCCCTCCCAACTCCTGGTTGAGTTCCAACAGTACAGATCCGGTCAAATTCGTTGTCTCACTGTATGCACATGAGATGGCAGGCTTTTAAAATGACATTGGTACCCCTTAGGTGTGTAAGGACAGATAATCTCCCAGTATGCGCAAAAAGTTCTGCAGTTTTTTATGATAGTGCTAAAAGTCTCCAAGTGCCTTCTAAAGGGTTGGTCTCCCTTCTCCACCACTACGCACACCCTGAAATTTCTTTACATTTCTATTTTATAAAGAGGAGCATGTGCGTGTTTAAGAGGACTCTGTGCTAAAGCATAAGAAAGACCTCAAAACACAGCTGCAACCAACAGCATTTAAAAAGACATCATCACAAGAAAGAGAACCAAAAGTCTTCTCTCCGTTAGTAGTCCTGCCATTACAAGATGCCTGCACTGTTTCATATTAGAGGCATATTAAAGAGCAGTCATCTCAGATAGAAACAGGAAAGACACTTACGATGTATTCGATGTACCATTGTCTGGACTCTCTGGCTCAGCGTCACCTTTCTCTTAAAAAGGAAGCAGAAAAAATACCAACATGTGAGTGTTATTGTCCTCCAGATTTAAGAGATTAAATATATTTCCACGCTCCTATTAACAATCTTTCAAAATGTACAGGAGGCTTTTAAAACATCTTTTTATTGCCTGAGAACTGGATTTGCAAAATTTCGTCTGCTGTAATGTAATTGCCCAGGCATGGATCTGTGAGTAGGTACCGAGGAGCTGTTTGCAAACAACCAAAGGCTCAGAGTAGAGACTTTGCCAAAAGATGAATATCTTACAGATGGAATCTTTTTCCTTCCACTTCATTTTACAGAAAGTTTAAGGAAATAAACTACATTAGCAATCTAAATGCAAGGCATTTTGAACTTTGATCTCTTCTGTGAACACAAGCCAAACCAGATTAAGCTGTATCAGAATTTGGAGGAGAGAATTTACAGAACCCTGGGATTGCACCATAGATCCCCGAGAAGTACACTCCACTGAAAGCCCTGACAGCAGGTTCTGGGGTCCCTGAATTAACACAGAGTAAGATGTAAACCAGAAATTCTTCCTGATCATCTGAAGGTCTAGTTGAAGAAATGTTTCTGCAGTCTGTGGTCATGGAGGATTGAACAGATTTTAATTTAGGGAGCCTGGAGTCACTTCACTTTTTGTAGTTTTGAAGGGCACATTCTCTAGTAATAGACACAGTGCAATTCTCAGATCCTTTATCACTGATGGTTTTCATCATGCATCCTCATTTTGTAGAACTATTCTTTTTATTTCCTTGAGGCTAGGAGATGGAGGGAGAAGGGTCATGACTGTGAGTGAGTTAGCTGTGGTTATGGTGGTGCACAGTGCTGAACCTAGAAGATGGAGGAGAAGATTGTGGGTTGTAAGAAATGGTCCCGATGGTGGCAACTTGCTTTGCTTTGCTCTTTCAGGCTGGGCCTGGAGATCTCCCAGAATCCCTCAGCCTACTGTTTCGGGCCTTTGGCCTATGCTCGGTACCAGCCCTTTTGTCAGCTGTCAGCATTAGCTTGTGGTCATGCTAATCTCAGGAATGACCCCTCAATTACATGATGAACACATTCTGAAGACAGCATTCAAACTAATCTCAAAAGCAAAACCCTACAATTTCTCCTCTTTTTCTTATAGGAGATTGAACAGTTGTGAGAAAAAGGAGACACGGTTATACAGAGTTCACATATCTATCTCAGATGTATCTCTGTGCTAATGTAGCTCCACAGTACCAGAACCACCAAGGACAGCCAGTTTGTTAAAAAGTCTCCATGTCTATTTAACTGCCTTGATAAGAAACACGAATTAGACAAAGCCCAATGCATACGAATCCACACTGAAATAAAAATAGAGGCAGCAAACTAAGACACTTGCTTTAAAGCTTATTCTTCTTTATTATATTTATCTTCTAGGCCACTCTGTGTTATACTTATTTAGGAGACCTGCAAGGCCTCATCAACTGGCTTTAGTACTGGAAAATAACCTAATTTAGTACCTTTTAGAATCACTCTTGCACTGATTAATTACAATTCCTGCCAGAATCCCAAAATAGAGAGAAGTTAACACCTGCATTAGGTAAGACAGACATAAGTGGAGGTTTAATTTTCCTCAAACCTATTGATATATATTTTCCCCCCTCATTTGTAGAGACTGGTTACTTTTCCCAGCCTCTAGCCACTAGTAGTTACACTCACACAGTCATGATCAGGAGTGTAAAACAGCAAGCTGAGCAGCGGTAGGCAGCAGTAAATATTTCCAAACAACTTCTGTCCAAAAAAAAACCATCCCAGGAAATTAGTAATATAAACGAAGACATTGTTTGGATGTTTGAATAAATATGTTTTACCTTGACCAACACTGCTGCCAAATAGCCCGCAGGTTGAGAGGACACAGGCCTTATTGCACATGGGACCTGGGGGCTGCAGGAATCGCAGGCTAGGTCAGAGCAGAGATGAAACTGAGCTGATGATCTCTGCTCTTAGCAGCGCTTTTGTTGTGGCAACAGGGAAAACAGAATAGGAAGGATATGATAGGGCTAAACAGGGCATTTATGGACAGTCTGACAGTGAGTGTTGTCAGCAGCTTCAGTGCCAGTAAAGAACTAACTTTTCTGGGGAAAAGTAAGCTCAGGATGAAGACAGGGATTGAAACTATGTCCTTCAGAAAGAATAAAACACAAAATTTCTTCCAAGTATCCTGAAATTTTAGGTGATGCAATTCCTGAACTTAACTTGATGTCTGAGTGTGTAAGCCATTAAGAATCACAGTCTCTTTATCTGGCCCCAAAGGAAAATGATGAATGTGGGCTAGAAAATTCACAACCAGAGATTTAAAAATTTTTTTAGTTGGGTGCACAGGAGATATTTTCGTGCAGCCACCAGAAAAGACTGTTTGGGGTTATCCTGGTTCTTTCAGCTGAATTTGTGCTGGCCTTTTCAAGATCTTCTCTAGTCCCTCTCACAGCCATATTGATGGAGGGAGCAGCTACCCAGCAGAGCAGATATGCATGGATGTATGTATGTTGAATGTGAACTTGCAATGTGACACTCAGTCCCTGTCTACCTGAGCCTTCCACAGTACAGTACTGACATATAATACCTACTTGGTGTATATCTTCTGCATGATGCCCTATCACTTATACAGAATCCTGTGCCACAGTGAGAGAAGACGAGTAAGGGACATTCACCACTGAGATGGAGGTACAATTTGAGGTATGAAACAGTGGGAGGGCTCCAATATTCACTTTTAAAAAAGTAACAGTTCACTACATCTTGAATCCAATAAGTGTACCAAGGACTTACATGTGGGGCACTCTGTGTGGTAAGCAGACAGATAAACAATACCTAATTCATGTCCTCTAAACACGTAAAATGTCTGCTGCTCTCTCCATTGATATGGCTATGAGAGGGACTGAAGAAGATTTTGAAAAGGAAATCAAACTATATCTGCATTAGGCTGTAATCTGCTGCAGAGGAAAGTTTTGCTGTACTACGACTTTCCTTTGTAATGAAAGTAATCATGGTCACAGTAAAACAATTTGAACAGTAGAGAAAAGGTAATGACTGCTTGCTTTTGATTTAAGTTTTGTTAGCCCTTCAACCATCACGCTAAGTAATACACTTATTTCAGAAAGTGTGTAATGATTTGTGATATGAAAGATGAGAGATGAAGTATTTAATATACTACCACCTCCCCATTCCTTACAACTTTTATTTAGTTCTATTAATACTTTTAGTGCCCCAAGTGGTTATTTATGAATTTAAATAAATTTAATCTTCTATTTCTTGATGGATCAACTTCTGATGTATCTCTTTTACACTATGTGAAATGAGGAAACTTACGCAGTTTTCCTTCCCTCCCTCTGTCCCATACAACACTGTACAGCTATACCTGTCCTTCCACATAGCCAAGATTTAAAATATTTATATTCTGGTCATTAATTATTAATGAGCCACCCTCATTAATATTAACTTGATTAATGATTTAATTTTTGGAATTGCCTATAGGCCAATTAGAAAAATTACAAACCAACAGCAGCACTTACAAAATTATGACAAATATAAATAATAGTAAAGAACAAAGTAGTGGGACTGGACTTGTACAGAAGGGAATGCCACTAAACCCAAATGAAGGCAAGTATTCCCAGTGTTTAAGTCAAATGGATTCTCATTCTTGTATTGCGTCATGCCACAGGTTAATCTGTCTCAAGTAAAGGCTACACTTTTCCTAAAAAATGTTAAATAGAGCACGCACTCTACATGTATAAGAATACATATGTATATGGAAGTGTACATACAGCTTTAAAAATTTAACCAATGAGTTAACTGTGAAAACACATTCCAGGCCAGAAAATGGGTGTTGCCAAGAAATCACCCAGATATCTCCTGTGCTTCCAGCTCTTTCCCACCAGCTATCTAGTAATGGAATTTTTGGTTAATCACTCCCTGGTCTTTTCTTGATAGTTTTTACCACTCATGTATCTATTCTAAATAAAATATTCCTTAGTTTTTTCTGATTTTAAATTGTATGTGAGTGAGATCATACTGTCTGCATTCTTCTGAGACTTACTTCTGTCACTCAGTGTTAGCAGTTTTAGATTCAGCCATCATCACGCACGGCAGCTTTGATCTGCTCATCCCCACTGCTGGGCAGTGTTGCCTTATAAGTACCTACTGTGATTTTCTTAGTCATTCTTCTCCTGATGGACATTTAGGGGTTTCCATTATGAATGACATAGTTACAAACATTCCTGGGCATCCTTCCTCAGGCGCATGTTAGGATTTCTGGGATGTAGGGCGTACATATGCCCAACTTTACCAGGGAATCCTAAACTGGTTTTCAAATTCCTATATAGTTAAACTTTCAAAGTGTTTTTCTGATTTAATAATGTACCATGCAATTTTGTTGCATTGTTTGCATTTCTCTGAGTTCTGATGAGGAGGATATTTTGTGCTTCCTCTTCTGGGACATTTCTTTTCAGTTCTTAAAATGTATTTTTGCAGTAGTATTTTTCTTTTTAATTCACAGAAACATTTTATTGCTTTGATAAAAATGTTATATACTTACACACACATCTCAAGTAAGTTTTCCTAGTGTCTTGTGACTCTTTTTCTGGTGTCTTTGGATGATTATAAGTACTACATTTTAATATACTTTAATTTATCAACAGTTTCTTTTATTTGACACTTGTTTTATATAAGAAATACATCAGAAAGATATTCTGTATTATCTTTTGGAAGCACATACTTTTACTCTTCACATTTAGGTGTTTTCAAAAATACCTGATATAGTTTTGTATATGACACCGGGTAGGGATTAATTTCATTTTCCTCCCTCTTGGTAACCAATTATTATGGTGCTGCTTATTAAGAAGCCCATTCCTTCTCCACTGGTCTATATTATCAGCTCTCTTATGCATCTAGTATTCATATTTGGGTCTATTTCTGGATTTTTCTATTCTGTTTCATTGCTCAATCTGTCTTTTGTTGTCTTGATTACTTAGCTA